CAAGAGTAAAAAATTAGAAGCAAGAACAACAAAGATTTTCTAGAAAATCCTTTTGAAATGATCGAAGAGAAAGGTATTGAATTTTACACCACGATTGTAAAAAAAAATATTGGCTTCTTTTCTCAAGAAGAAGCAAAATACTGTAGTCAACGACATTTACAAAAAAAACCAATGTTAAAATAATGCTTTATTTAGAATGTGAAACAAAGAAGCCTGATTATACTGATGCAGCAAAGTTTCATGTCAACACTACAAGTCAAATTTTACATTCTGGTGAAATTAGGGAAGAATTCTATCAAGCAGCATGATTAATGAATGACGTGGAGAATAGAGAACATCATGCTTCAGGATTAGTGATAACTAGGTTTTTGAGATTGACTATGTTTCAAACTAAAACTGATGCAATGATAGGAGCATCATACATACCGAATCCTCAGTTTGTTATTAGTAAAAGGTCAGTTTTAAATATCCAGAACAAAGATAACATGTGTTTCAAGTGGTGTATTCTAGCACATTTACACCCTGCTACTAGAGATAAAGAAAGAGTTACTAAATACACACCTTTTAAGGATGAATTGAATTTTGATGGACTTGAATTTCCTTTCAAATGTGAAGATATTGAAAAATTTGAGGGTATGAATAATTTAAGTGTTCATGTTTTTGCATATGAATATTCTATTTCAAATTATGCTCAAACGAGAAATAATTACCAACCTACACCCGATGATTATGAACATAGAATATATAAAAATTCGTCATTCAACTTATAAATGTGAAAAAAAGAAAGAACTGTTAACCTCTTTTATAATGAAGATTCAGAAGGTAATGGACATTTTAGTCTTATCACAAATTTAAGTAGACTTTTAAGTAGAAGTAATGGGGATAACATGAAATATTATTGTTGTAGATGTTTATCATATCACTATAACCAAGAAAAGTTAGATAGACACGTTGAGAATTGTGAAAATACTCCACCAATTGAGCATAGATTATCTCGTAAAAAAACATTGTTGAATTCGTTAATCATCAGAATACTCAAAAAGCATCGTTATGTTATCTATTCAGATTTCGAAAGTTTGATAGAAAAAAATTCATAATAAAAAAAGTCAAAAGAAGCATTTTTGTTCAATCTAAAGAGAACAATCCAAGGAAGCTTACTGGTGAAAAAAAGGAAAAAGATAAATGGACTAAAAATATTGGAAAACATGTTCCATCTTCATATTGCATTTTAGTAGTTGATTCGTATACTAAGACTATATACGACATCGAGTCTTATGTTGGTTATAATGCTGCATTAAAGTTTAATACTTCAATTATTGAAATTGTTCGTAATCTTATGAGCATTGAAGATATTGCTTGTAGAGATTTGTCTTCAATAGAAAAGGAAGAATTCTATGCATGCAGAAGTTGTGCTATGTGTGATGTTGTTTTTGACCCTTCAAATATGAAAACTACTAAAGTGAAAGATCATGATCATTGGACTGGAGAATATCGTGGCCTATTATGTGGAGAATATAATTTGAAGAAAAAGAAAAATAAGTTCATCCCAGTATTCTTTCACAACCTAAAAGGCTATGATTCACATCTCATTCTCGGAGATCCCATGAGTATTAAGTTTTTGAGAAAAAATGATGTAGGTGTGTCAAATATTAGGGTGGCAGGAAAGAAATGCGTGTTTTTGATGTCATTTAATTTTATCATAAAAACAAGGTTATCACAAATCAATTCGAACTGTAATTCCCATCTGTATTAGCACCTTGTCAACAATGCTCACGCAGAGAATGGATAGTCTCCCTGACAAACTGGGCCGCCTACGAGTCAAAGAAGTTGCACCCCCAAATTTGGACTTCATCGGAGTTTTTCAATTTTTTTTTGGCTGTTTAGCGATCCAATGATTCGGACAGATGATAAATGCGAAGAGCCATGTCTGAGCATTGTAGCGGAAAAGCAGAAATTTGCAGAACAATTTTTCTAATTTTGGGCTAACACATTTTCGCAAAAAAGCGAAAAAGCGATATTGTGAACCCATTTTTCATTTCTCCTTTTTGCACTCCATTGCGTAATAAAACTGTTTTCTCTTGCAGATATGGGTGTGTATCAACTGATGAGCCAGTTTCACAGGCGTCTGTTGTGGATCCAGTCTAATGGCCTTTTAAAATCGCCTTTATCGTCGATTTTTCCGGTCTTTTCGCCTAGTGAATAGCGCTAAAGCAATTCAAAATGTTAACTATCAGAAAAAAGCATCAATGGTGATCATAATATTGAAAGGTGCCAAGCTTCTGAACTTGATTTGTATTTTTTGGAATAACGCGAAAACTAGGTCCGCGAATATAGTTTTTGAAAGAAAGTTTTCAGAGCTATTTTTCTTATAGAAAGGCGGAATGAAAGTCAGCAAACTATATATCCAATGACGCACAAGGACAAGCCCTTTTCGACAAAAAATACCGTTCTAAATAATATTGCTTCTTGGATGAATTAGAAGCCGACAAAAACAAGCCGCATTTCTTTCATGCCACCCTAATATTTCTGCTAACTCAGAGAAATTCATTAGTTTTAGTTATCATTTACCTTCCTTGACAGAAAATATTAGGGAAACATGTGAAGTAAGATTTCTAGATTCAATGTGTTTCATGTTATCTTCATTGGATAAACTTGCAGAAAATTTAGATGATAATCAAATGAATATATCAAAAGATTATTACTCCACTCAAGGTAATGATATCTTCGAAACTATGAGGAAAAAGGGTGCTTATCCTTATGAATATATAAACTCATTCGAGAGATACAAAGAAACTGAACTCCCAAGTATTTCTTCGTTTTATGATAGCCTCAATGGAAAAGAATGTACAACTAAGGAATACTTTTTATGCAAACTTAGTTTGGAAAAAAATGGGATGCAAAAAATATGGATGAAAAAAATGGGAGTTTAGAAAAATTATACTAGAATATATATGATTAATGATGTGCTCCTTTTGGCAGATGTTTTTGAGAACTTTAGGGATGTTACTCGAAAGAAGAGCGACACGAGTCAAGTTGAAAATGGTTTGTTCATAGCTATTCTAACTTTTTTTTTAAATTTGTCTTTTTCAGTGAACGAAAAAATCATCAACGGTATCTTCATCTTCGATCAAGCCAATCAAATCACTTGGGCAAAATTGTATTTAAGGGAATATTTGAATATTTGAAGTAAACCTTTTTTTGCACTGTTCTATTGGAATTTTGAAAAAGTTGTAAAGTTTTTTTTAGAAGGATGAGAAGAAAGTATCGTGTGGACCATGGAATGGCGAGGTTTTTGATGAGAATCAATGCAAAATTTCAGCTTATTTAATTTTTACAAGTGATTTTTCGAAAGAAAACTAGTTGGATTCAAAATTTTTCTTGTGGTTCGATGATTGTGTATAGCGAAGGAGTTTTGGAATTTTAGAATTCCAGAATGCGAAGTTCAGTGTGAAAAATCAAGTTTTGGGACGGTATACCCATTTGCTGACTATAAACTTCCTTACAAGGGCGGTCATTAGACTTTGTGGTTGGTCTGAAAATTGGTTAGAAGACTCCTTGATGTACAAGAGGAAGATTCTGAAAGGCACAACCTTCGAGAAAAGACGCTGCAAGTTCAAAGAAAACGCTCAAAATCTATCAAAATGAGCTTTTTTTTTTTTGGTGCTTTGAGCCCTTATTTCTTAAGAAATAAAAAGTTGTGCAGGTTGAGACTTTCAGAATCTACTTCTGGCAAATCAAGGAGTATCCTGGCCAATTTTCAGGAAGTTCCCGACCGCAAAGTAAAGCGACCTCCGCTTTCCAACTTTTGATTCAATAATTTTGCAATAAATCTTTTGAAAAGACGTTTTATGAAACGTTTAAACGAAAAACTTTTCAAAAGCACCAAAACTGAAAATGTTTTCTCTAATTTGGCCTATTATCAATTTACCGGTGATTTTTGTCGAGTGAACCCATAAAGTTAGGCCTGCGAATTCCACTAACTTCTTCAGTGCAAAAATCAGAGCTTTCCATTTTTAGAGCCTCTACCTCAAGCGGTCAATTTTTATGATATCTCTGAAAATTTCCCAATGGGAGCCCTGCACGCAATATACGGTAAATCATGTGTTTCGTCAAATTACAGAGCCGGAAAAGCAATAAATTTTATGGGGGCAAAACCCTGATATTTTTAGCTGGGCGTCGGAAAGGCAGAATTCGCGTTTTTTGTCTTATTTCTATGGTCATGACTCTGACTTTCTACCCGACTTTTCTACTTCAATGAGTCTTCTGCCCATTTTTTAAACCACATTTTTTTTCCTTTTCTGATAATCGGATTTTCTAATTCTTCTAAACAATCCCAAAGTCAACTTTTGCGAAGAGAGCAGTTGAGCTCAGTTCCAAGCCCATCAAAGAATATTCAAGCGGATCCAGTAACTTTCTTACAGCTTGAAAAGTCGGATGTGTTGAAAAATACAGGGGGGATGGGGATAGCTCGATCTTGCGCGATATCGCTCCATTTTATATGACTCAATCTTGGGTGATATCGCTCCAGTTTATATCGCTCGATATTGCGTGATATCGCTCCAGTTCATATCGCTAAATACTGCGCGATATCGCTCCAGTTTATATAGCTCGATCTTGCGCGATATCGCTCCATTTTATATGACTCGATCTTGGGTGATACCTCTCCAGTTTATATCGCTTCATTTTATATAGCCCGACCTTACGCGATATTGCTTGATTTTGAGCGATATCGCTCCATTTTTTTTCTTAATTTTGACCTCTTCCAGCAGAGAAGTCAAAAAAGAAGCGAAAAATCGTTTTTCAGATTTTTAATTTATAGTAGACATGACAGCGAGTCTTGAAGCCCCAGCGAAGTTTTGGCCAATACGCCTGCGATATAGTCCGTTATTATGGGTGAAGGGTTCCTCCGACTTTCATTATGGCTTTGACTCTCAATAAAAACCGTAACGATTTATGATTGTTGAGAAGAAGAAAGTTGGACAGTACAAAAATCTGGAGAATCAGATGACGACGACCGGTTCGACGTAGTAAACCGGCGTGGCCACGACTACAGGCTGATGGACGACTCGATGGCGGGCCATGGGGGCCGCTATATTCCGATTAATTGTAATAATAAGTTTGCTCAATGCATAAAGTGTGAAGGTGAGTAGTTAGTTGAATTGTACAAGAGAAAAAAATCCCGTTAAATAAACTTTTTTTCGATTTTTTTGGAAGACTAACAAGGGGGGGGTCATTTTATTTTGCTGTCGGGATTTACCTGAAAAATTGGCCAGAACACTTCTTGAAGTATCAAATGCCAATTCTAAAACTTCTAACCTGCACAATTTCCTAGTTTTTGAGAAACAAGGGCTCAAAGCCAAAAAATAGCCTAATTCACCAAAATTCGGGGGTTTTTTATTACTTTAAGGTGTTTTTCTCAAAAAATAGCAAGTTTTGCAGGTTGAAACTTTCAGAATCTTTTTCTGGCACGCCAAGGAGTAATTCGGCCAATTTTCAGAAAATTCCCGACCACAAAGTAGGTTGACCTTCCTTGTAAATGAAAAATGAATTAGTTATTGAAAAGATAAACATTTCGAAAGCTTTCTGTGAGAATGGTCGTATCGTGGCAAGGATTTTGATACAGAAAACCTTTGAAATCGTCCTTTGTTCATAATTCAGCTTATTTTGAGACTTTTCAACAATAAAAGTCAGCTCAAAATGGTCCTACAGAGCTCTGAATTATTTCATTTGACCCAAAAATCCAAATAAAATGCTACCAAGTTATGGTAAAAAAATCCAAAAATTAAACAAAAAAACGTAAATTTTTTTAAGAAAAAAATTCATTTGTCGAAACTTTGGGGCTTAAGAAAGGAACTAAAGTGGATTCATTCTTTAGCAAAAAAAAATTCTTGGACGTTCAAACTTTTCTACATGTTCAATGATGCGTTTAGATTGAATTTGAAAAATTTAGCGATTTTTTTTTTCGAAAGTAACACGTTTGTTTTTCTTCTGGAAGCTGCTGAACTTAAAAAAAACTATTCAGAGTGCTTGAAAAACCTTGATTCTATAAAAATCTTTTTTTTTTCAAACGAAAATTTTCCAAAATTCTGCCGTAACCTTTTTTCTCATTTCGAAATCATCCACGACACAAGTTACACTCTTTTTTTTTCCAGAAATCTCCCAATTTAACGCCTTTCTAAAATTAAAAGAAAACAATTCTGAGCTTTTCTAACCGGCTACTTTGTCGATAACTGAAAACTTTTCTCCTACTTCATCTTCAAAACCACGATTTGAAACGTACGTTCCACGGGTTGACGCATTCTCAAGCAGCAATAGCATAGAAGACACGCTATCATGAACATGAGCATCAACGAGAAGAACGAGTACGTGTAAGTCTTCAAAACCGGTTTTGGTCGGGTGCAGGAAAGCTGTTAGTTACCGTGTAATAGATCATGATGAATAAGGAAATGGAAAAAAGGCTCGTAAATTTGGATTTTCCCTTCTTTTCCGTGAAGTTCAATCACTCTTATTTTTAAATTGCGGATTAGCCATTTTTTTTACTTCATGTCCAATTTATCATACGGTTTCAACCATTTCCTGAAAAATTCCAAGAGCTTAACGAGCCTCTCTATAAAAAAAATTTTCTTTTTTATTCTGGTCGAAGTTTGAATGAAACTTTACTTCAGGATCTCCGGGTTCCAGAACAAGGAATTTTTTCTTTTTTCCGACTTTAGACCTTTAGAAGTCAGCAAATTTCAAAAAAAAAAAAAAGACATTATTTGAAGACCTAAAAGGTGCAAAACTCGAAAAAATCTATTGTGAGAATCTTATCCGGATTTTCCTACAGTTCAGTCACGATTCATCAAAAGTCATAACTAAAACATGTTAAAGAAAGTCTAATTATTGAAAAAGCTGCATGAAGGATTTTTTTCCCGATATTCCGTACAAAGTTTTACTGGACCTATTTAATGCCGTGTTCAAAGTAATTTCCGCGAAATGCAAAATGATATCTGACTCTCCAAAATTTAGTTATATTTTTCTTTCTCTGACGGTTATTTTGCATTTCGCGAAATTACTTTGAACACGGCATAATGCATGGCTTCTTCTCGATTTTCCTAAAGCTGTAATCAACCGAACTTGTTATTTTTTGTAGGATTTGCGCTCTTATTTCTAACCAGGTGAGATGGAATGAAGCTTGGAACTTTTGAAGATTGAAACTTTCAGGGTCCGAATTTGGTACATTTTGCGCTCTTTGGGCAAGTATTTTTTGATCCAGGGGTCGCTGAAGCCCTGCCGAGTTATGCTTAGAAACTAGCTCGGCTAACCAATAGGCTGACGGGCCGGCCCTCGCCCAAGCCTACTACCATTAGCTTAACTAGGGAACGCTTTCCCCCGATTGAACTTTTGCTGAAACTTTGCTGAAGTGTACTTTAGGACCTCCTGATTGCAGGAAAAAAAGAAAAAAAGTTTCTCGCAGTAGATCTTGTTTCCGAATTATGGAGCTTCAAAGTGTGCAAAAAGACGCAACTTATTCCAAAAAAAGCGCTATGGGGGGGAAGAAACGTTTCCCAGTAAGCCATAATCTAACAAGCCTCTTAAAATAAGCTTCAAATAATTCCAAAACGTTTCCACCAAGTCTTCCCCACAACCTATCCAATTAATGGCTTCTCTCCGGTCTTCCGGGCATCGATCTGGAAAAGGGAAAGACAAGAAGCCGGCTGGCGGGCGGCCAGCTCCCGCAGGGGCTATCGATCCGCGACGCGAGCCGCGCGCGTCGCGTCCTGCGCTCTCCTCTCTCCGCTGCTCCCTCATTTGCCCGTCTTTCCCCTTTATCGGCCTCTTCGGTTGCTCGCTTTTACGCAATATCAGTGATAATTGTTCGGTCGCTGCTTTGCATTGATTTTTTACCTTTTCTACTTGCTAGTTCATTTTTTTTTTCTTTAATTTGAGTTCGTTCCGAAAAAAATGACGTTGTTGATTGGATTTCGCGACGGCAGGTGCGCGTGAACGTTTCCCTATTTGGGCTTGTGATTTGCTTTTTACTAATCATTTTAATCGTACCGGCGGAGAAAATTTTGATTTTTCATTTTTCAAGGTCCTTTTTTCCTTTCTGAGCATTTTTGAGTTGATTTATTGAATTTTTCTTCAAATGGATTTTTAGTTCTCAATCTCTGAAAATATTCACTTGGCGATTTGAAAAGTCTATATTAGCTGTAAATAAAACTTTCTTGTGACTTACAAGATCAAACGACGGAAAAAGGTTTCGACTTGGAAAAAAAGCAGAAAATTGTTTCGGATAGATTTCAAATGACAGCCTAACCTATAAACCGCTATTTTTTTGAGGATTTTTGTAATATTTTTTTCAATAGAAAAACTGAGCCAAGGTAAGAAATTTCAAGTATTTTTTTGCAAGCTAACGATAAATGGAGTAAAAATCAATAAAGAAAAAGGCTTCTCCTTGAAATTTTTTTTTCTGGACTCCTTTCCGATCTTTTCAAAAAACTCTCCGACGAATCAAATAAAGTCGTTGAATTTTTCAATTGAATTCACGATAATTTAATATTTTCTTCCGCGTAAGTGGTTATTGAATAGTTTTTGACCTCTTTCGCAACTCGAATGTAGTAATTTGGACGTTTTTTTTTTTAAACCTGGATACTAACTTATTTTAGGAAAGTGAATACATTATAATGATTTCGGAGCAAGAAATTATTTTTGGTTTGAAACTTCTGGAAATTTCTGAAATTCGGCTGGAACGTTTTTTTACAGAATGTGGAAGGTTCTGATAAATCTAGCAGTTTTCCAGGAATCTCAAGTTTTCTTTCAATTCCATATTTTCGAAATGGCACCTTTTATGAAGTTAAAAGACTTCCCAAACTTTTGTGATAAAAACTGCGTTTTGAACTGGGATAGTTTCTTCATAGCGGTTAAAAAGTTTCTACAAAAATTAAATTATTCCAGTCTTATCTCCTGCCAAATCGAGCTTACACTAAAATTACACTACACATTATTTTCGAAATTTCGACTTTATAAAATTCAAACATCTTTTAAAATCTAGATCTAACTTCAAAATCCTTTTTCTTTTTCTACAGTGAGGATAACCAGTACCGAAATTGAAGGTATAGTAAAAAATAACAAATATAGATTTATTCGGTTTTATCTTTAGCTAAATCAAAACTATACTACATCTTAAAAAATACCTCCAAAATTTTTGTCTTTTTCGATAAGATCTTCGGAAGCTTTTAACTTTGAAAAAAACCCCAAAATCAAGGATTTATTGTCTGTTGAATTTTCGAAAAATCGAATTTTTGGAGGGTGTAACTTTTTCGATAAAGCCTTTCAATTTATCACTGATAATGAAAAATACCAACATCAAACCGAAGAAAAACAAAATCAACCTATTTCAGTCTTGTGACGCCTTTTTTCCCACTTCCAGTGATCCAAAATTAACCTTGTAATTAGCCCCAAGGGCGATCGCCTCCGCACGTCTCAAGTCACACTACCATTGAGTAATCAACCCGCCTACCTTCAACCTTTCATCGGCTCATTATTCTCCGTAATCATAATCATGAGCTATTCCTATCAGCCTGCCGCTAGCTTTCAAGATCTGAGCAATTCTTCGGGAAATAAAATGACGGGGCTTCAAGCTCCGGATCCCAAGGTTACGATTACAGTTATCATCATTCAAAAATTGCAATTATCGTCCATATTTGAGGACTTTCAGTTCTTTTTTAGCTCTGATCCAAATTTGATACTAGTTTTTCTATATGAAAAAGGAAATGAAGAATTTCCGTTTTTTTTAGGTTCGATAAAAAATTCAATGATCTCCTCCTGGATAGAGTCAAAAAAAAAACCGAAAAATTAAAGAAAATGAATTTTACTTTTTCTGGAGTTCATCTGACATTTTTCACAAGCTTTATAACTTTCAATACCAAATCAAAATTAAAAACTCATCAAAAAAATAAAGAATAAATGCCCTTTTACGTGAAATCCTTTCGCAACTGATAAAGATGGGATAAAAAAAGAAAAAAATGAAATTTCTCCGCCAAACCTTCAATTTTTTTGGCTCCTTTTTCAAAAATTTGACTCTAGAATTACATAAACTTTGCAAGAATAAAGCTTCAATTTCTAGCAATTCTTAATTTTATTTCAAAAAAATATTTGATTTTTTTCTGTTGAAAAAAATTATTTCTACATAAAGTACAACCATTATTCCGCTAAATTTCACTCAAGTTTCATGATTTCTTATATTTTTTTACATAGCTTTACAAATAAAAATTATTGAATAGCAAATTGTAGAGAAATTTTTCCTACACTGACCAAAAAATTCAGATAAATCCATAAATGGAAAGGAATTGTGCAAATTCCGTTGGTTTGAAAATTCTTTTTTCTTTTTTCTTTCGTTTTTTCGATTCCTATGACTTCATCTCAAAGAAAAACAATAAAAAGACTTTTTTTTCCAGTTAGAACGGTACGAAATGGACAAGTCGGACATGCAAAGAAGCGTCGAATCGCTCCGAAACCAACTCAATATCGAGAGGACCCCCATCAGCCAATCGGCGACCGCGTAAGTACTTTCAATGTCTTGTTTTTTTAACAAAATTCAAAGATTACTTACTGAAAATTCAATCTAGCTTCTTTTTTTTGATATATCTCAAAACTTTCGAATGTTTTTCCTTACTACTTTTCTGAACTAAACTCAAGGCAAAACAGTTAAGATATAAGAAAAATGTTGAAATATTCGTTAAATTCAAAAAAATTCTTGACTGAAGCTTTTTTTGAAAAAAAGAGAGAAGGCAGATTTCCCTGTGAAGGGGGTTTTTGAAAAAAAGTTTGGTTAGAAATTTTGAAAAAAATCCCTTTAAAAGGTCTTGAGGTGTTGAGAAGAGAGGTCCCAATAAGCTACAGAAAAGGTGGACCCTATGAAAATAAATTACTTTTTAAAAAAGTGATAAAAAAAAGTTGAACAAACTTGAAAAGAGTATTTTTTTGTCCTCTTACATGGCAGATGCTATCATTTTCCGGTAGGGGATTCCCTAAAAATTGCCCAGAACACTTATTGATGTACCAAAAGAAGATTTTGAGAGTAAGAAAAATCTGAAACATCAAGGAGTTTCCAGGCCCATTTTTAAAGAAATCCCAATAAAAATTGAACCTTCCTTTTTTAGGAATCTTTTTTGCACATTTTTTTGGATTTAGAAGGACATTTGTTTCTCCTATTGATAATACTTGGGTCTTCTTCCTACGCCTTTGTACCGCCTGGCGCGGCGTCGGCGCCCCAAGTCGGTTAGCCGAGGTCCTATCTTGATGTCAGTGATAATCAGTGGAATGGCTCTAGTGACATATCCGTCCCCAAGTCGTGGTTTCCAAATACGAACACTTCTAAATCCATTATTTGGATAGAGGCGGGATCGAACTTGTAATCTTGGAAGCCACAATCTTGGGAAGCAAAAAGCTCTCCTTTTCGTCTATTTTTGTTGCACTTTTTTACCTATATTCTCTTTTTTGGATTACCGAATACAATTTCTGATAAAATCTATTCGAAAAAGCAATGGTTTTTGCTTTCCAAAATTGTGGTTTCCAAGATTACGGCCCTCAAGATTTGCGGACTTGAGGTTTTGTAGAACCATCCCTATTGCGCTACGGTGCGCCGAAATTAATATAACTTCTCGGCTATGCAATATGGCGTTTTTTTGGCGACGCCCCGCCCATATTTTTTCCGTAAAGTTTAGTGTGTCGTGTGCATACACTGCGGTGTGTTTTAAAAAAAATAAACAGAAAAATCGCTATTTTTAATGAGAAATGGATTCGTCTCATGGCCCATTGAACATGCGCCTTTAATATTCCTTGATGTTTACGCGTATTTTTCATGAAGTCACATATGAACGGCGGAAGTTTTGGCCACGCCCCTTTATTTTTTAATTTTGCATTTTCTTCTACTAACAAAAACGCCGTGACCATTGAAAATGTTCTCTTTAAAAAACAACATTTTCAGGATGCGCCAGTTCACTGAGAACCAAGAAGACCCGCTGGTGAACCCGATCGACAAGAAGGTCAACCCGTGGGCCGAAAAGAGCAAATGCTCAGTTCTGTGAAAAAAATCTTCCCCAACCTATTTTTTCTTCAACAATTTATTGCCACTGCTCTTCCGCATAATTATCGCTAAGTTAATATATGTAACATTTTTGTCTTGAATCGATCTTTTTTGACCGCTAGTCAAAACGAGCTTTACTTCCCAGCAAGTGAGAGCATCAACACGCATCTCTAGCCATTCAATTGTCCTTGAAATTTCATATTTTTCTTATCAATTTGTAATTTGATTAATAAACACTCACATTTCCGTAATTTTTTATTCAAGGAAAGACACAGTAACCTAAAATTAATTCAAAGAATATCGAGATTAAGTAAGGGGCGCGCCGTAGCGCAACAGGTTGTGTGCCTGTCTACGGTCCACAGGGTCACAAGTTCGATCCCCGCCTCGACCCAACCAAGGGGTTTAAGAAATGTTAGTAGTGGGAAACCACGGCTTCAAAATTCCCAGCCGTCACACACAAGGACGGATATGTCACTCGAGCCAGTCCACTGATATCAGGATAGGACCTCGGCTAATCGACTTGGGGCGCCGACGCCGCTCAAGCGGTACAAAGGCGTAGGAAGAAGAAGAAGAAGAAGAAGATCGAGATTAAGTAAGTCCCGAGAAAGGCTTCTCGTTTTAATTGAGAACTGAATCAGAGGAGAAAACGTTTTTTTCTTGAATATTCATTTTTTTCATTCTGTTCAAGCTTAGTTAACCAGAATAAATTAGCGAATTTAACAAATTTTTTTACCAGTTTTTCAGCAGATTTTCAATGCAGAAAAAAACATTTCCTTAGAATATTTAAAAAAATTTTTTTTTGAGAGGCG